TACACGATTATATTTCCAATTCCGATCTGGTTTCCGATTTCAGATTAGTGTAAAAAAATACATAAATAAATAGATGACTAACCAGACCATAACGCACAAACAATTAGAAAAATTCATATCACAAGGGTTTTTGTGGATATTGTAATACTTTCAGTGGTTGAGATCATGAGTCAATTGAAGCTAGACTACCATAAAAAACCTAGTGGTTAAGCATTCGCGCGCGAGGCTGATAGGTCCTGCGTTCAAATCTCGCGAGTTGGTATCGTGGTTGCCCACTATTGAGGAGTCTCACAGTAGGACTCAACGGCTGTCTAGTGGTTCCAGGTTTTCCATCGTGATCTAACTTCAAGTGACTCATGATCTCTTTGTTCACACTAGTTATAAGTGATAATTAAGAAAAAAAGGAATGGAAGAAGAAAGAAATTCCCGATGTTTGTATCACATACTATTTACTGAATCAGTTTAGGGGTTGTGGAGATTAAGTTTTTGATTGAGATCATGAACCGATTGATATTAGACCACTATGGAAAAGCCTGAATGAAACGGGCATCCAGTGCTTCCAGGTTTTCAATGGTAGTCTAACATCAATCTGTTCATGATCTCAAAAAATATTTGCTAAATATTAGTCAGTAGTATAAAACAATATACAAAAATATTGAAGGGAAGTGAATAAGGACAGAGAACGTAAACAGATGGTATTATTCCAAATAAAAACATAAGCACTAATAAAAGGAAAACCTTAAATTGTGCGGTCTTCGGGCTCCAGTTGTAAGTGAGAAAACGAACTAAAACATTAAAATAAAAACGTAAATAGATATTATCAGAAGGGGTTTGTGGAGATTTTAGAAATTTCACAGATTGAAATCACTAGTGACTAACTTCAAGAGATACTCCTGGAGTTCTAGTGGGAAGCCGTTACCAATGGAGTTCAACCGGGTCTGTTGTGAGATATCAGCTTACTGAAGACAATGGTATAAGGTGGCGCAATTCCATGGATTGGTTGAAGTTAGAAATTAACACCGTTGGATGCCGGCTCTGTGGTTTAATGGTTAAGTGCTCGCGCGAGGAGCCACTAGATCCTGAGTCCGAATCCCGCGGGGTGCGGGGTCGTGGGTGTCCCATACAGCCGTCCAGTACTTCTAAGTTCTCCATGGTGGTCTAGCTTCAACTGACTCGTGATTTCAATCTGACAAATAGATATGCAAATGGTTATGAATAGGTGCATAAACATCACAGAGATCACTTATGATGCTCAAACTACTGAATATTTATAAGTAGTGCAGTTAGTACGCTAAATCAGTAAACCGAATAGCCAAGTAAAAATAAAACATTTCGTAGTAGATTTGAATTACAGTATACCTGATTCTTATAACGCTAAGTAGTGACTTGCTTAGGTTCATGCAAAATACTCACATTAATGACTGATAGGTAATACATATTATATACATACTTTTTATAACTACACTAATTGAGATAATCTTTTCAGTCGATATCAATTACTGAGAGTTCTTTAAAACTTCACTACCGTTTAGAAATAGTAATCCAATTTTCATTGTTCTCCTTCCTTCTCTAATTATACGTCTATGTTTAATTTCTTCTAGGTGTTTTTGGTTGCGCAATTCTAGATGATTTTCATAATATTGCTAATCTATATATATTTTCTGCTGGATCTAAATGTGATGAATGGATTGCACAAATTGAATCAGCAAAGGTAATTAAATCTAATAGAAACTATAAACTGACACAACAGTTTTTTTCATTACACGCTGATATTTAAAGATGAAAAGTTACTTGGATTATTTTTTCTGATTAGCGTTTTTTGATTAGAGAGTTAGTTTTCTACGGGATGGTGTCAGTAACTCCATGCCCAACCCTTCTCCTTTACTCGAGCTTGAGACCGGCAGTAACTAAACAAACATAACATTGGTTATTACTCTACTATTAATTAATTACAAATATTTTAATTCTGTAAGAAGTCAATTCTTGCTCCAATAGCTCTTTGGTAACATCTCAGGCTGTAAATTTTGAACGACCTAAGCTTGAATCCGATAAAAAGCATCGATTTCCTCAAGATTACAAGTGCGCCCTAATAACAAGTTTCAACCAGTATTTAACTTACATTCAGTAATATTTACCACCTACTGCTTTCAATCACTATGTATCTCAACATAGTTTATGAGATGTCGAATCATTCAGAGTAGCAACCACAGAATGAATGAATTGATAAGATCCTATTAACATTAATGAGTTAAACAAACATGGCTCTTTAATTAACCAGATGTAAATACTGACAATGTGAATAGTCAGTTCAATTTTTTATTAGCGTTAAGAGTGTTACATTATTAATCAATAAATCTGTAAACTAAGTCAGCTACAACGTAGGATCAGGAACATATTTCCATCGATCCAAGTTGCCATATCTCATTACGTGAATACTGGATGCATAGAAGCACTGGGCAATGAGATATGTTTACGGTCTTGAAAGGACTAATGCTCCATGAAACCTTAACACATGTAACACTGACATTGACTAGAATCTGTTCGAATGAATTTGGCTGAAAATAGATTATCATCTGTCGTTAAAGTATTTCATAGATTATAATAAATGCCTATATTAAAATACCAAAGATGAATTTATCCAAAGTTATGCATAGATTTAATATGAAGAATGTTTGGTAGGTCATTCAAGTGATCAACTATGATGTTCATTCATATAAAGAACAAAATCATTCACAATGCACGACATACTTGAATGACATCAATGGATGTATAATAAAACTCAAATCATTACTTTTAATGTCTAACATGATTGCCTTGAAATACTGTTATAACTTGGGGGCTTTATGTCCTGTTAACGTAATGATACCGCCAATTGGAGAACAATGAGTTATCGACCGGATCAATCATGCATAAAACCTGTAGGAACAGTCTAGAGTCTTTAACAGTACTTCTTCCCACCTAGCCCTGCTTTTTAAGTCCAGAACATCAATCTCCGCCTTTATGATATGAATCATTTATTTCAAACATACTGGATTAATATACACCAATCAAACAGACCACATCGTATCATAAAATAGGAAACAACATTTGTAGAAGATTTAGTCAAATGTGGCTGTGAATGTGGGAGATATTAATCGATAGACAGGGCATAACTCAAGAATGGTAAATCGTACAATAATAGTCTATAGGTCAAAATGAAGCTTATAATAAGAGGAATACGCATATGAATAGTTCAACTAACTAACAAATATATAATAAGAATATATGTATCATATTAGTCCAGAAATAGATCCAAACAGTTACCATTTAATATTCGCGTCGAGATATATGCAAATTCTTTAGTATTAGTCTTTCTTTTTTGAATTAAAATATTCATCCAACTTATGTTACATTAGTGTAATTAGAAAGGTGGTACACAAATTTTCAGAAGGATATTGATACTAGATTTGCAAACCAAAATTTATGATTGAGAATATCTCACTAAAACTAATAATAATCGGTTATCAGATAATAATAATAAATGAGGTTGTGCTTGTCCACTAAATAGAAAATCCATAAAGTAGTTCAGTGCTTATAGGTTTTCATTACTTGTCTATCTTAAACTGCATCATGATCTCAACAACATTCAACAATCTACTCAAATATCATACTGATAATTATTGATTTGCCTAATCTTAAACCAACTCTGTGAGCAAAAGTATTTTAGTTAACGAATGTAAAACCAAAGTGAACCAACATTGAAATGAGAGGGAACCAACTTATTATTCAATGCATAATTACCAAGTTGTTTCATACTATGTAACAACCATACACTAAATATTTCGTTGACAAATCTTTCATCAGTTGTTTCAAACTTCATCGTTCCTTCATGGTTATTACTTTCTGTTTACATTCTCATTCTATTTAATTTGATCTTCAAAACGTTCTGATACCAAATTTTCGTTTTATATCTGTTTGATGTCTCATACTACTGATATCTATTGGCATAAGTAGTATACACTAGAAAATCAACCTTACAATATATATCTTTATGCATAATATGAACAATTTATATCCAATATTCAGCATGACTTTTTTTCTATATTCCTATAACTTGTAGGAAAATTATCGTAAACTAATGGAACCTGAAGTTCTAGTTGCTCAACCATTAATGAAACATCAACGCGAGGATTTATCTACTATTGTTATGTCACCAGATTCTATATGTAATTCAGATAATACTTCAGAGTTACATAATCAATCATATGAATGTAATAATGGTTATTTTGTAGATACTATTCCTACTACTACTCACAATATTGATTCTAGTAAAAATAATACTATTGAAGGAAACAAACGTAATGTGTTCTTCCCTTCCCAATCTTCTTTATTTGAAAATATAAATTGTAATCAGATCAATAATATTCATAATAATCAAATAGATTCTATGTGTATTATAGATAAACGTATTAGATCAATCACTTCACCAACTATTATATCTAATCATCAACGTTCCAGTTCTAGATCATGTAATTATACAACAATTCAACAGGATTCCACTAAAATGATTCATTCAACTAGTGTAAGAAATTTATTCTCATCTAATAAATCAGATCATGATCAATTACATTCATCAATCAATAAATTTGATCTTAAATCAACTCATTCAAAATCTATTTCAATGTCACCATTAAAAAGGGATGTAGTAAAAAAATTCTTTTTACCTAGTAATCAAAATGGACAAAAATATTATTTAATGAATCAACAAATGAATGAATCTAGATCATCATCTGATCTAAATGATCAACAATACAAATTAAGATCATCTAATATAGATTTACATAAAATCATTGATATAATTCCTAATCATCAATCATCCAAATTTATATCTTCATCAATCAATCAATCAATCAATCAATAATAATAATAATGAGGATAATCAACCTTTTATATTTGATAGAAAATCTAGTCATTCAACATTATCATTATCATCTACAACATCATCATCATCAAAAAGTGAAATGAAAGTTCATCTTAATCAACCATCAATAGTGATTTGTAGAGTTAAATCGGATTCTCATGAAATCATCAATAATAATAATAATAATAATAATAATAATAATAATAATAATAATCGATATTTACCTTCAACTAATTTACAACGTCAATCACTTCATCAATCATTATTAAATATTGAACGATCTGATAGTAGTGAAGATCAAATTACAATTAAATTATAAATGGTTCAATTGTTTATATTAAATCATTGTAAATTGTTTTTTTTTTTAATTGATTCATTACCTTCTCCTGTTTTTTACCCTTTTTATTCTATTAACTTGGTAACATAAATTCATTTTATTGTACAGTAATAGATACCTTGAAAAAAAAAGGGTGGAAAAAGATGTTTCAACAACTCCTTCATTGTTGTCAATTATCTATTATCGATTTTTTTTGAAAAATTTTTTGTTGTTGACAACATTACTTATTTACTTATATTTGTTACCCCTCGTGGAGGAACATTGGGGCCGCCCACCCACACTCTCTCCATTCAATATTACTATTTGATTATTTTTTATCCATCTATCTCCTCTATTTAAACTTTTTTGTATAATATAAGAATCGGTGATCATGCAAAAAATAAAAAAGTAAACAAACACACACGCACATACCACAGACACACATACACACACACACAAATTACTCAATAACATGTAATACACAATTGTGTTTCAAACCTTCCCCCCCCCAAACACACACACAGACACATACACATTTAGAATGAATACAACATTCAAGAATTAATGGTCTTTCATTTCATTCATCTAAAATATCAAAACAAATATGTTGAAGGTATACAAGTATTTTTTTTCTTTTTCAAAAAGAAACAAAAGAGGGAAAAATTGTTTTCTGAGTTGTTTGGTTTTACTTTTATTATTTGTTTTTAGTAACAATATGAACACAATCACACCATTTTTTTTAAAAAAATAAAAAAAATTAAAGAGATCAGTAATTAAATTAATTGATGAGTTCAATTGAAACTAGATCATCATAGAAAATTTGAAAGTATTGGATGTTCATTTCATCTTAGTATGGAATTTGTTCTTAACAGTGTACATCTATGATCACATTTCATCAGATACAAACTGAGGGCTTATCCATTTCATGAACGAGTGCTTAACCACTAGATCACTGAATCGGCCAAATGTCTAACTTCAACGAATCTACGAAAATAACCAACATAAACACCATTCTCTCCCTTGTGAACAAGACTGACAGGTCCTCAGTTAGAGATCACGAAGTAACAGGCGTAAGTAAGTAAGTAAGTATGACTCTCAAAACACTAAGTTAAGATCATGTAACACTCTCCAAACCACTCTGTCCTGGACCTTCCTTCCAAAGTTCTATCCAATTATTGTTCATTGTTCTTATATCTGCTAACATTTCTCGGCAAAATGTGTTCTTTGGTCTTCTACTTCTCCTTTAGCATTGAAGATTCCAAGGGAGGGCTGACCTTGTGACTCAGTTCGGTGCTTTTCTCAATGTGTGTTCTATCTACTTCTAGCATTTCTTCCTGATTTCTTCATCCTCTGGGATCTGGTCTGTTTTCTCCTACAATAGGGTGTTGCTGATATCGTCTGGCCAATGCATCCAATTTTATTTGTGTAGACCACTGTTAATAAGCACTTGTAATGTTTTGGATGATGGCTTTCATTATTCTCCAGGTTTCTGCCATATACAGTAAAACTGTCTTGACATTTGTATTGAAAATTCTGACCTTGGTGTTGGTTGACAGTTGCTTTTAGTTCTAGATGTTCTTCAATTGTAAATATGCTTCTCATGCTTTGTCGATCCGCGCATTCACATCTGCATCAGATCCACCGTGTTCATCAATGATGCTGCCCAGATATGTAAAGGTTTTTACATCTTCCAAATCTTCTCCGTCAAGTGTGATTGAATTGATGCATATTGTATTGAATCGGATAATCTTGCTTTTCCGTTTGTGTATGTTCAGACCTACTGTTGCTACACTGGTCGTCTTCTCCTGCACTTGTTGTCGCATGTGCGACCAAAGAGCCAGATCATCTGCGAAGTCTAGATCTTCCGGTTGCGTCATATGTGTTCACTGTATCCCATACTTCCCCCTTAGATGTTGACGTCTTCATAATGCGGTCGATCACCAGGAGAAAGTGAAAGGATGAAAGTAAGCAACCTTGCCTGACACCAGTCTTTACTTCGAACGAGTCTGTGATTGTTGATGTGTAGCTACAAATAAAAGAAAAAGATTCCAACTCTCGATCCATTTCTTTTCTGATTATAACATTCATCAAATTGTTCAGATTTTCTGTTTATTGAACATGACATTAGCTAACCAAGGTTCATTACTGAGAAACTTAAGCACAAACAATATAATGGTTAATGTTCATTGACCTACCACCCGCATTTATGTTCATTCATAAAAAGTGAATGCAAATATATTAGACTAAATACATGTCAATGTCAGTATATATGCGTCATTACACTATTATATCATCTTTAGGATAGTGTATTGGCAATTGTTTCATTTGAAAACATTTAACAAAACACACTGTTTTTCATATGATAAACATTATAGATCAATGATGAAGAAACAATTTTCTCATATTATCAGTGTTTGACTGAACATTTCAAAGTTGATCCAATAAGAGATCACGTGTGAACATTGCTATGGATGTTCAGGGTAAAGCACAAAATCTGTTCTCTGTTATTTTTTAACCACTATATACATATGCGCGGTGGAGGTCCAACTTATGAAGTTGAAAAGACGAAAAGCAAACTGCCAGCTCTTTAACCGGTTCTGCGGGTACATCAGAGGATCCACCTAGGTGGGTTGAAAAACCTTTATTCCGAACCAATGTTGTACATGGTCTCCAACATCTTAGGCGAACATATGGAGTATGGACCTAATGTTGTTCACTGGTTGCCATGCGACTGCATCTCCTGATATTGTTCCACTGCCTTGTGAATTACACCTCTAGGTCAAAGGCTCGTGGTGTGGCTTCCTAAGAAATCTACCTTCTTCGGTTTTGGTGACCAAGCAGTACTCTAGCCCACACACAAATCATATCTGTTTGATGCCTCTTTGTACAAATGTTTATGTGTTTCAATAAAATAACTAAGTAAAATTATTTCCTCAGTAATAACCAATTTTCAATATGAATCATATCATTCGATTTGATTCAATACATCCATATAAATACAAATATATGAACACTTGTGGTGTATACTACTTATGTATATCGAAATAAGTAGTATGTAACACCAATCAGAAATGGAAAGCCTGGCAACAAAAAGCTAAGAAGGTCGAGTTAAAGGGAATAGAAAGGGTTTGTGACTTGGAATAATCACACGGAATGTGTGATATGATCATAATGCACTTCGATTCATGATACTGTGTCCTTGATTTATATTAAATTACCTATTCTGTATATATGGATTCCCTTGATTTCACTAGCTTAAGCATTTTGCAGAGATTTTTAACTGTTTGAAGGCTGTTTTTTATCGTAAACCAAAAAAATCCAGAATATACTGAGCAGTTGGGTCGATCCTAGTACGAGGTTTCTGATAGGTGGATACACTCATAATGTCATACTACGTTGATTATAAAATCTTAAGATAGTTGAGAAGATTTGTAGCTCAAGTGAATGATTTTGATGGAGTTTAGTTCTCTGAGTTGGATGTTTTGATCGTGGAGCTTTCATTGTTCTCCTGAATGACATCATCAGCACAAACTTCAGATAGAACTGTGAATAAAACTTCATCAAAATAAAATCTTAAAGTTGTTTAATAAATAGAATAATATTTAAACACTGAATGACATAAGAATTTAGTCAATTTGTGATATAACTTGATCAAAATAAGACATCACTAACGAATGATTCTTTCATATGGGATTCGAACTTGTATTCAATTTTAGATTTATAATTTAGGACTTCAACAGTGAACTATTTGGAATACGGCTTATCTCCTGAAAAATTAAGACTACTCTCATTCATTTAACATGTCAACATAGTATATGTGAAATTGAGTTTCCTAAAGTTTCCTACCACATTACAACTTGTTTGATAAGATTCGATAAGACCTAAAGAATAAGGTAGCCGATATTGATTACTTTATAATAATGATTCAATTGTAAACAGTTAAATGTTTCTTAGTTTAACTACTATTACACAGTTCACACTAAGAACTTTAAACGATTATTAGTATCTGAAAGAAAATTATCAAAGATTATGTTTGGTCAGTTCAGAGGTATATTTCTTTCAATGATTTTGAAATCCGTTTATTCAAGAGTTCAGCAGCCACAGTTTCTTTTAAAGTTCATATTCATAAAAAGAGTTTTCTTTTGTACTATCAGTGCACTTTCTGGATGATGTCTAGTTGTTAAGTTACTATCAAGGAATCTAGATGGATAACCATTCCGGCAAGACTCTAATTTATGGACGAGCCAATCAGAGACGTTCTAGAGATTTCAAGGTTACCGCTCCAACTTCAGTGCTTTAGGTTAACGTACGGTCGGTTCACAAGGAATTTTGTACAAAACGTGATAATTGAGCGGCTATAACAAATAAAACGGCGAGACTATAATTTGTGGACGAATCAATCAGGTATAAGATAATAGATCACCGATCTTAACGCGAAAGCCTTTCATCCATTTGGCTAAATAAATTTCTTGCATTATAGCTGGTGTCATTTCATGATGAAAACTCCATATATAATTCCTAACTAAGGCAAATTACGAAAATTATTGCGAACCGGATAATAAAAGCACCAGTAACACTGACTGCAGCCAGGTACTACAATATATTCAGATGTTTGGAGAGCGTACAGACTGCTAAATAGGCTTGGTTATGTGCATCGTGTCGTTATCCACAAGTAGCATTTTGTGCAATTAACAACCGGAGTGCAGATAAACAATATTGAACTATGTGTTCGCGGCTGAAAGAGTTTTTGAGACTTTACCATGGCTACAAAAGTCAACTATTCTGTAGCCGTATGGATGATTCCCACTACTGTAGTCATTACGATTTTAGAACCTCTGAACCTCTTTCTAACGTTGACAAGTTTTTGAATCATGTATAAGAAGTGTATCCACTTTATTTCCTCGGTTCTGTATAACATATTTTTACTCTATACTGACTGTTTGCTGATTGGCTAATATTCCTAAAGGCCACTTAAGAGTCGTTCATAGGTCGTCCATAAATTAGAGTCTCGCCACCATTCCTAATAAGAATCTGACGAAATTATAGTAGTTCCTCATTTATTGTGTCAGTAAAATATATTCGCTTGCTCCTTAAGGATAAGACGTGAATTAAGTTCCAATTTCTAATTAGTGGGACCCATCTATGGAAATCCTTCGTTTATAAGAAGTGATTCAATACCGTGTTCAAACATGATATGAAATCAAATTTATGAGACGAATTTATAAACTTTATTTGCTCATATAAATAAGCGCTTTGTCGAACACATCACTTATAGTTCAGGAGTTGAAGATCATAGGTGAAAATATTCGTATTTAACACACCTTAGGGATTCATATACTTATAAGTTTCTGGTAAGTAACAATAACAAAACAGAAACTCAGAAACTACAATCTATTTTCTAAATACTTCTTACCAGCCAGTATCCATTCTTCTATCCATAAACCAGTATTCACGTACTTATGTCAAAAGAAACGAAATCAAATCATAGATGGCGTACATTTGAATCGTTTGTCTGATGTATTTCTCCACAGTCGATCTCTAAGACGACAAAATTAAAGTTCTCAAACTTTATTCCTTTAAATTAATTAAACATTAATACTTTAGGCTGTTAACATCAGAACTGATCAAAAGACAAGTACTAAGAATAGGGAAATGATCCTAGTTTCTTCAGATTTATAATGTTTATGACAATTTGTTAGTTAATTTCATTCTAAAAGACAATCATATTAGTATAAGATAAC